AGCACATACCCTCCCCAATGTCCATCACCCAGCCACCCCATCCTTCCCACCCCCGTTCCCTCCAGCAACCCGCAGTTTGTTTCCTGAGGTTAAGAGTCTCTTATGGTTTGTCTCCCTCCCTGATCTCATCTTGTTCCATTTTTCCCTCTTTACTCCCCAGAACCTCCCGCCCTACCTCTCAAATTCCTCATATCGGAGCGATCATATGATAATTGTCTTCCCCTGATTGACTTATTTTGCTTAGCATAATACCCCTAGTTCCATCCATGTCATTGCAAATGGCAAGATTTCGGGTTTTTTGATGGCTGTATAGTATCCCTGCGTGTGTGTGTGTACATCTTCTTTATCTAGTCATATGTTAATAGACATCTAGACTCTTTCCATAGTTTGGCTATTGTGGACATTGCTGCTATAAACATTCGGGTGTACTTGCCTCTTCAGATCACTACGTTTGTATCTTTAGGGTAAATACCCAGTAGTGCGATTGCCGGGTCGTAGGGCAGCTCTACTTTCAACTTTTTGCAGACCTTCCATGCTGTTTTCCGGAGTGGTTGCACCAGCTTGCGTTCCCACCAACAGTGTAGGAGGGTCCCCCTTCCTCCGCATCCTCGCCAACACCTGTCATTTCCTGACTTGTTAGAATTTTAGTCATTCTGACTGGTGTGAGGTGTATCTCACTGTGGTATTTCCCTGATGCTGAGTGTTGCTGAGTACTTTGTCATGGTCTGTTGGCCATTTGGATGTCTTCTTTGTAATGTCTGTTCATGTCTCCTGTCCATTTCTTTTTTTTTTTTTTTAAAGATTTTATTTATTTATTTGACAGACAGAGATCACAAGTAGGCAGAGAAGCAGACAGATAGAGAGAGGTGGAAGCAGGCTCCCTGCAGAGTACAGAGCCTGATGTGGGGCTCGATCCCAGGACACTAGGACCATGACCTGAGCCGAAGGCAGAGGCTTTAACCCACTGAGCCACCCAGGTGCCCCTCCTGTCCATTTCTTGATTTGATTGTTTGTTCTTTGGGTGATAAACAATTCTTGTCAAAGTTCTAAGTGAAACCAAGTACAGCTTTTCTTCTACAGAGTAGTTGCATTCAGGAAAACTCAGAGTATATTAAAATCCTGCAAAATATACTTTGTGTTTATATGAGAGTTACATTTTATCAGAGAATTATAATATTTTCCTAATAGAATTATCTGGTGAGGTAGTCAACATTTGTATGGGGAGGCAAGACAATTCTTTGTCACTGTGACAACCAAAAACACCCCACAAATTTCTAACGATGTAAGTGTGGTACGATGCTCGTGCCAATCCTGGGTGAGTTCCAGTGAGATGAAGCAATCGTGGCTCAAACGTGGTAAATGGAATATCCAAGCCACCAAGCCAAGCAGGACACTAGGAGGACCCCGGACACCAAAGAGAAAATCTCTTCCTTGGTTTCTGTGAAATCTTGCTATGAAGGATCCTGGGGTGATATCCAGAACCAATATATGACCCTGCTGCTCTCTGCAGTCCTAACGGCATCATTTCAAAAAGTCACCCCTGGTTTATAGAGGATCTGGAGACAGAGCCTTCAGGTTAAAGGAAGAAGTACATTCCATCAGGCTTTACTCATAGTAAATAGTAACCAAGTGCTTGAATGACTGAAGGTTGACAGAAGCCAGGATCAAATATCCAAAAGTCAAGAATAAAAAACACAGGGTTTTTTAAAAAACACAGGATACCAAGCACCTGTCCTATGGTTTTTTAAGTTTTATGCCAGCATCACCTGGGAACACCACGTTTTGATCTCTATTTGAAATGCTTTCAGTGAATTATGATTTGGCGCTAGCTTCTTAGCTTTAAGATCAGTATAATAATGACCCCTCAGTTTTGCTGCTTCTGCTGAACCATGGCTCAAATAATTATTTTCTCAGTCTATGCCCTTTATACTTTAAGAAGGTCCTTCTTGTCTTCCTTTGGTTTATCAGAATGATATAGATCACATAGATTTTTGTTTTGTTTTGTTTCATTTTGTTTGGTCTTGCCTTGGCTACTAGGAAGGTCAGAAATACATCTAATGCTCAAGCATGGTGACTGTTTCACTGCAGGTTCATGGTGGAATGATCTCTCTCCCCTTTCCACTCTGAAGCTGACGTCTCTCTGACTTTAATTGTCCTCTATGTGCTTCTATCGTAAGCAACATCACAGTCTCGTTACACAGGGGATAGAGTGTAAATCACCAGGCAATCAAGTCATGTGCTAAGCACTTGAACAGTGTGTGGCACTTGGAAGGTACTCGGTAAATATTCATTGAATGGACGGATGGATCCAAGAACAAACCAAATTCTACTTTTCCATAAGTAGGAGTGAATGGTTGCTGGGGGCTGGATAAGCTCCCTCTCATCCATGAAAAGGGCCCTTCCCACTGGAGGCCCACAGCCATGGATTTGATAGAGTGTAAGGAGCATTTTTATGTGATAACTGAATCCTGTATTTCTTTTTTTTTTTTTAAGATTTTATTTATTTATTTGACAGACAGAAATCACAAGTAGGCAGAGAGGCAGGCAGAGAGAGAGGAGGAAGCAGGCTCCCCATGGAGCAGAGAGCCCGATGTGGGGCTCGATCCCAGGACCCTGGGATCATGACCTGAGCCGAAGGCAGAGGCTTTAACCCTCTGAGCCACCCAGGCGCCCCATGAATCCTGTATTTCTATAAAACCCAGCCTCCTGAATGAGCGAACATGTGCTTATGCCAAGATTCCCCCAGTGAGTCAATTTGCTTCCATCATTCCCACCCTGTACCGCATGGCCGAGCCAGAGCATGGAGCACAGAAACCACAGGAAAAGAAAGCTCAGTGCACACAAATCATGTGTTTTGAGACAAATGCAAAAATCTTCATAGAAATTACTTGAGAATTGGGTCAACTGTATAGTTCTTGATCCAGTGGTAAATAAGAAGGAAGAACCAAGAGGCAAGTTCAGAAGAAATTGGCTCATAAAGTTGGTGACATATCGGCCAGTTTGCACCTTACCCCTTGCTGCTTGATTATACGTTATTCCATATCGCTTTCCTCTTTTCCAGAGACTCAGAGCCTCGGGGAAGTAAGATCTGCAAATTCCATCTGTTCATCCAGAAACTGGGGGCCGAAGAGGATCAAGACTTTGCACCCATCACACAGGGATTTCCAGCCAGTCTGGGCTAGAGCCCAGAGTCCTTGTTGCTTGGTCATTTCGCCACCTTCTGGATAGGAAGCCTTCGGAGAGCAGGCACTGGTGAGTACTTGCCTGAGGACCAGAGGCTGAGAGTGCCCCTTTCAGAGCTCTGCGCCCTCCTACTCTTCACTCGACCTGGGAAAGCTGCGCCTGGTACTCTGTCCCACAACAGAGTAACTGACAAATCTAGACTCCCTTAAGCCATGACTGCTTAGCCTACAGGGCCATGAACGTGGATGGGAAAAACTTACATCTTTATCTATCGTCCTCCAATTAAAATTTAGCACTTCTTTCCATTATGAATACAGACATCAAACCAGAGTAGAACTGGCAGGACTGGTAACTGTCACTAATAGAAATCACCCATATTTTCATACCACAATGCATGTTATAGATATTTCAAAATATTACTTACAATCATCACTCCTCTGGAATTACAGTAGTTGTTAGATCACCGCTTGATCTCATTATTTCATGTATCGGTGAACATATATATTACTATGTTAAAACATTTTAGTATCAAGGATTTCCTTTGTAATTCAGTGTATTTTATTTTATGCTTTTAAATACACAGGCTTCACCAGGCTACCAAAGATTAGGGAGAGATTCTTAACCCTTTTTCCTTAAGGAAAATGATCCCTTAGGTCTCTGTTAACCTCTTATTCAGTGACTTGTTATGGATCATAAATTAATATAATGTGGATTTCTGCTGAAGCCCAACAAAAGTTTAGCTTCTAAAGCAATGAAAGGAAGTCTTATTCCTGAGAAATTCATGTAGATTTGATAGCAAAATGATGTTACCGAAAGTATATTGTCTTGATCTACACTTTCTGCATTTCACTGATATGTATCTAGCCATGACTTATCAATGCAGCGCCATGTTCTTGGTTGGGGGAGGAAAAAGTTGAAGGTCATGTAAGCCCAATGTCTCCAGTAGGGGTAAAAAAAGCAGGGGTAAATATATACAGAACCTTTCAACCAGCATTAAACAGAAACAAGACCCCATGGATAAGACATTCTTGAAAACCATTAAAAACCATAAATAACTGATAGATAGGTGGTGGGGTGTTCCTTCGTACTTCCCCAACTGATTACATTTTTTTGACTTTTGAAGTTAATTGTAAAAATAATAGTTAAGTATTGAACACACTGAGTACTTTTAATGTATTTTCAATTACGATGATGTATGTTAAACACGGACCTTTATGCCTCTCTGATCGCTGGAGATACTGGATTTATCTTAGAATAATTCAAGTTCAGAAGTCTGGCTTTTAGAAACATGAGAACGCCAATTTTAATACAATTTAAAATCTTACCTTATCACGACGGCAGAAGGTGCAAAGGTCTGTGTGGGATGTTTTGTGCATCCAGAAGCGATGTTGCAGACAGACACGAGCCAGGAAAATGAGGCCTTTTTGTTGTCTTTTTTTGCAGGCATCCAGCGGCCTGGGCTTTTAATGACCATTACTCCTGACCGGAAGGCACTGGAGGAGAAGAGTAGCTTCTGAATGTCCTCGATTCTCTTCTAACTGCCAGTTCTGAGTTCCCTCAGATTGGGGCTCACTTCTGCTTTTGCAGAAATTATCTGCTTGGAGCCGTGCCTGATTTAGAGCAATCTCTTGCAAGACCTCAGACCAGAGATATGCTTTTGGCTTAGACGGACACCGCAGGCAGCGGCAGGGCTCCGTGGAAAGGCTCCCCGGGGGGCATGAGGCTCTGGGAGCCGCGAGTCGAGCTGGGGGGTGGCCTCTTGGGGCTTTCTTCTCCCAAGGAGTGTGACGCAGTCAAAAAGGAAAAAAAAAAAGGCCAAACAGCTGCTGATGAAATAGGAGAAGGCGCACTTTGAAGCACGTGGGGCTGTTCCAGGGCACTCTGAGCTCACACACAGCCCAGGGGCGCTCGGTCATGGAGTGACCCTGGGCTCAGGTCTCCGCACCAGAGAAGGCATGGCCGGGGAAGTCAGCCTGAATTTCCTCCAGGAGCTGGAACGCGAGGTCATCCTCCAGGTCCTGTACCGAGACCAGGCGGTCCAGAGCACCGAGGAGGAGAGGATCCGGTATGCTGTCCTCCGCGGCGCACAAGTCTTGGGGCTCTCCTGCTTGGCGCCTCCTGCCACCTGCTTGCTCGCCGCTGCTTGCTGGCCGCGTGGCATGTGGGCGTCCTCTCTGCGAGGGGCCCACGACGGGCAGAGGCCGGGTAGCCCTGCCCTCTAACCGAGCTCCCCGTAGTGGGGGCGAAGGGAGGCTGCTCTTGTCATTGACTTTAAATAATGCCTTTTTGTGCTAAGTGTGTTATCTGGTGCTTGTCCCTTGGCTACTTGGCGGGACTAATTCAAAGGAAGGGTCGCAGGCTTCTGCTATGCCTCTCAAGGGACAGACCTCCTGCAGAGCATTGCCTGAATTGTTGGTTGGGGAGGGGGTCACCAAGGGCACACAGAAAAGTTGAGAAAGCCACGTGGAAACAGCAGGTCTGCTGCGGTGCGTTCCCGTCGTCCTCTTTGTGTGCTTTTGCTTCCAACTTGGCTTTGAGGGGAGGGGGTGCGTAAAATGTGAACCTGCTCAGCCTGTTCTTTGACGGATCTGTCGATAGGAAATTTCTTTCCTTGTCTGTCTAGAAGCTGCACACGCTGTTGGTATGAGTTAACACTTAGCAGAGCAGGGCTAGACTGTCAAAGCTGCTAACTGGCAGCGGCCGAGATCCATCTCACCAACGACAGGGTCCTGTTTGTCATGTCTGTAGAGGACACAAAGACTAGAAAATAGGTATGTGGACCAGGCTTTTGATGTTGTTTTTTATTTATTTATTTTAATTTTTTTTTTTAAAGATTTTATTTATTTATTTGTCAGAGAGAGAGAGGGAGAGAGAGCAAGCACAGGCAGACAGAATGGCAGGCAGAGGCAGAGGGAGAAGCAGGCTCCCTGATGAGCAAGGAGCCTGATGTGGGACTCGATCCCAGGACGCCGGGATCATGACCTGAGCCGAAGGCAGCTGCTTAACCAACTGAGCCACCCAGGCGTCCCTTATTTTAATTTTTTTAAAAGATTTTATTTATTTGACAGAGAGAGACACAGTGAGAGAGTGGCAGAGGGAGAATCAGGCTTCCCACTGAGCAGGGATCCCGATGTGGGGCTCGATCCCAGGATCCCGGGATCATGACCTGAGCCAAAGGCAGACACCCAAAGACTGAGCCATCCAGGCACCCCTGATATTGTTTTGTTTTGTTTTTAATGGCAGAACTCTTCTAGAGTCTGCCAAGAAAAATACACATAAAATGAATAAAATTCGGGGCAACCCAATGCTTAAGGAATGAAATTTGCGGGTTAACTGGAAGATACAGTGTTCTTTTTTCTATCCTCCCCTGCTGTCCCAAAGCTCTCTGAAATGGACTTGTACTTTTTTCTGCTAAAAAGTATAACATGCTGAGCAAAATGGAATTGTCTCTGATGATTTGAGGTCTTTCAGTGATTTAGAAACATCCTGAATACCAACAAAGTAGCATGGACTCTGTGGTCAGGAGGGTTTGCTCCCGAGGGCACAGAAAGCAGCGCAAGTCCCGCAAGTGGAATGAACGCGCTCTAGCTTCTTGGGGCGGCTTCTCTCTTCTAAAAGTGGCTAGCAGAGACATTTCATGAAAGAATGCTCTGGTTACTAACACCTCTTCTGGGTCCAGTGTAAGGTCCCTTAGCACTTGGGCTATTGTCTCAGGGAAATAGGAACTAGAAGTGAACCGACCACCCACTGAAAAACAAAACAAAAACCACAAAACAATAGTTGGGACACCTGGGGGGCTCAGTCTGTTAAGCATCTGCGTTTGGCTCAGATCATGATCCCAGAGTCCTGGGATCGAGTCCCACATCAGGCTCCGTGCTCAGTGGGGAGCCTGCTTCTCCCTCTACCTGTTGCTCCCCCGCTTGTGCTCTCTCTCTTCTCTCTCTCTGACAAATAAATGAATAAAATATTTAAAAAACAGTAGCAAAAGCAGAACATCAGTTCAATAATTTTGTTGGGTAACTTAATGACAAGGGCAGGCATGTATATCTTTATAGATCTTTCCATGCCTTCTATATTAAAATTGATGCTACTTTCTCTGTGTGTGTTTTGTTTCGTCCTCTCTGTCCTTGCTAACCCATTATGATGTCCTTTGGGCATGGAGGAATGAGCCTAGAACAAAACTAGTGGCGAACTCCTCTGTGCTATGCACCTCTTAGGCTTTGCCATTGAATCCTCCCGGCATCTGTGGGAGGTGAGCTTTTTCTCATCTCTGTTTCACCGTGGAGAAAATCTCTGAGCCTCTTTCTGGAGAGACTGAGTGAGATCCCTAGTTCACACAGCCATGTTGTTAGCTGGACGCGATGGATGCCAAAACCCCTTCTTTCCTCTCTTGCCGGGAGCAGTATTATTGGGGCCCTCACCATGGAGGGGTATGTCTGGCGTCTGTCCTTTCATTCATTCATATCTTGTCACTTGACTCTTTGGGCCGCAGGAAACTGAAGACGCACTTGCAGCACCTCCGGTGGAAAGGAGCACAGGGCGTGAGCCAGGAGCACAGAGAGAAGTCATGCGCCCGCTGTCAGAGGGAGCTGGGGTTTCTGCTGAACCGGGGGGCCGTGTGCAAGGGCTGCAGCCACCGCGTGTGCTCGGAGTGCCGAGTGTTCCTGAGGAAGACCAGCGCCTGGAAGTGCACCGTGTGCTTTGAGGACAGGTGAGATGGCCGGGGTGCTCACGTCCCCTCATGGACTCTGGCCATGTGGACAGTCCCAGACCTGCTGGTGACAAAGGTGCTGTCGCTCCTCAGGGTTGATTGGTGTTCACAGAGGGCTTCATAGGAAGCTACCTTTCTAGACTTGGAAGTTACAGTAATTTAAAAATGAATTGTATTATGTAAAAGGTTTTTTTTTCTTTTAATTTACAAACGTTTGTTTATAATGGCTAAGGATGGGCTAATCCAGGAGTGAAGATTCATTTGGATTTCATAACTAGGTGCCTAAATTTTCTTAGAGCTTAATTTATCACTTTCAGAGAAAGTCAAGTGAATTTTATTTTATTTTAAGGTTTTATTTATGTATTTGACAGAGAGAGAGATTGCAAGTAGGCAGAGAGGCAGGCAGAGAGAGGGGGAAGCAGGCTCCCTGCTGAGCAGAGAGCCCAATGAGGGACTCGATCCCAGGGCCCTGGGATCATGACCTGAGCCGAAGGCAGAGGCTTAACCCACTAAGCCATCCAGGTGCCCCAGTCAAGTGAATTTTAACATAGGGAATATTAGAGTGAGCCTGTGTAGCATTACTTATTTATTTTTAAGATTTTATTTATTTATTTATTTATAGAGCAGAGGGAGGGGCGAGGGAGAGGGAGAGAGAGAGAGAATCTCAAAGAGACTCCCTGCTGAGCATGAAGCCCCATGTGGGGCTCGATCCTAGGACCTCAAGATCAGACCTGAGCTGAAATCAGGAGTCAGTTGCTTACCTTACTGAGCCACTCAGGCACCCTATGTTATTATTTTTTAAAATATTTTATTGAGGTAAAATTGACTTGTGACACTACATTGATTTCAGATGTATAACATAATGACTTGGTATTTGTATACATGGTGAAGTGATCACCACTGTAGATCATGTTACCATCGTCTTTATCTGTACTTCAGTTCTGAATGATAACCTTGCTGAGTGAAGTATTCTTGGTTGGAAGCTTTCTTCCTTTCAGCACTTTGGATTGGATTTATCATCCCATTCCCTTCTGGCTGCAAATTTCTGATGAAAAATCTGCCAACTGTCTTATGGGCGTTCCTTGTATGTCACAAGTTGTTTTTCTCTTGTTGCTTTCCAGAGTCTCTTTTAAATTTTAACTTTTGACATTTAATTAGGATGTGCTTGATGTGATCTCCTTGGGGTCATCTTACTTGGAATTCTCTGGGCTTCCTGGACCAGGATGTCTGTTTCTCTCCCCAGGTTAGGGAACTTTTCAGCCATTATTTCTTCAAATAATTTTCCACTCCTTTCTCTCTCGCTTCTCCTTTTGGCCCCTATAATGTGAATTTTCATTCCCCTTGATGTTGTTCCCAAAAGTCTGTTAAGCTGTCTTCTTTTATCTTTTTTACTTTCTTCTTCCTTTCTCTGTTTGGGTTAGCTCCACTGCCCTGCCTTCTAGACCGCTGATCTGTTCTTCTGCTTCATCTGATCTGCTAGGGACCCCTCCGTGTGTGCTTCAGCTCTGTGGCTAATGTGTGGAACTTGTTGTTTTCCATCTCTTTGATGAAGTTCTCATGGTGTTCATCTGGTCTTCTCCTGAGTCTGGGCAGCATCTTTATGACCATTACTTCAAATTCTTTATCAGGCATATTACTTATCTCTCTGAAATTAAGGTATTTTTCTGAGATTTTTACCTTGTTCTTTCATTTGGAACATACCTCTCTGTGTCTTCATTTTCCTTGACTCTCTTTGTTCATTTTTTGGGGTGTTTTTTTTTTTAGATTTTATTTATTTATTGGTCAGAGAGAGAGAGAGTGAAAGAGCACAAGCAGGGGGAGCAGCAGGCAGAGGGAGAAACAGGTTCCCCACTGAACAAGGAGCCCAATGCGGGACTTGATCCCATGACCCTGGGATCATGACCTGAGCTGAAGGCAGATGCTTAACCTACTGAGACACCCAGGTGTCCCACTCTGTTTGTTTCTATACGTTTCTAAACTGCAACCTCTCCCCAGTCTTGGCCTTGTGTGGGTGATGGATCTTGTCCTTCAACCTTGCCCTAGCTCTTGGTTATCTTTCCAAACTCTGTGATTGTCCAAGCAGCCTGATTTATTCTTGCTAGGGCTCCATTGCTGTGCTAAGACCTGTTGGTGTCCCAAAGGGAAGGATCTGTTAGAACCTAGTTTCAGGCTGATTGGAAGCCAGACCCCTAGGCAGCAGCTTTCAAAGTATGCAAATAGATACAGTCCTGTGGGACCAGTCATAAAATCTGCAGGCCTCCAGACCAGGAGATCTGAAGGACACCTTGGGTGGAGGTTGCAAAACTCAGGGTTCCAGCCGAGTGTATAAGCTCCTTCCTCGGAAGTACCAGAGAGCTGAAGCAAGGCCAGGGCTGAGTGCAAGGATGGGGTCTTCCTGCCTGGGTTCCCTTAGGTCACCTTCCTAGCCTTGGGTTGTGTGGCAAATAGGAAGTCTGCCCCTCAGGCAAAAGCTCTAGGCCAAGGAAATAGGCCTTTTTCACAGGGAGACTGGGAATGTGTTTCCATCTACTGTCTGTGCCGTGCCCTGAGGGTTGTAGGCTGCTGGGAACTGTCTTTGCAATTGTTATGGTCCCCTGGAGCCCAGGAACACAAGCCCTCTGGGCACCAGGACCAGGTGATCTGGTGTGTGTCCTTCGTGTGGGCTCCAGGCACCTGCCGGCTTTGCGATGCAGCTGGAGAGTGCAGGGGTGGAGCAAGGCCACTGTGGCCACTAGCGTTAGGAAGGCAGCGGAAGACGGCCTTGGCTGGGCATGGCCTCTGGCTTCTGCGATGCTGCAGGAGAGTGCCGTGTCCGTGCATGTCTGCGTGTGTCCCTGCGTGTTCATGCACACCCGCGCAGGCCCTCAGGAGCAAGTCAGCGGGAGAGTGCCGGGTCTCTGTGTGCCGCCCACGCTAGCAGAGGAGAGGGAGAGTGCAGAACAGGTGCTCATCTCTAAAGAGAGTCCGACCTGGCCCCTGGCCCTTTGGCAGAGGCTGGAAGATGAGAAAATGAATCTCCTTCACTCACAGTCTAGATGCTTTTCAAACTTGCTTTTGTTCTGGGTCTCTACGTCTCTATGTGAGTGAAACCACATGCCCATTGGACTTAAGTAAGCCCCACTGTTTTTTCTAAGTCAGACCTTTTGGGGGCACACCTCTCAGGGGACCCTCCTCAGGTCCAGGGGTTGGGGTGCCTGGCAGGGGACACAAACCCCTCACTCCTCTGGGAGAAACGCTGTCCTTGTGAGATCCCTCCCTGTGGTGTGTCTCTGTGATGGTGGTGAGGAGGCGTTTGGTGACATCGTGTCTCTGCATCTCCTATCCGCCACCGCGGTGTGGTCTTTCCATCCTATGTTGCGGGTGGTGGTTGGGCTGGTTTTCAGTCCTTCTTTGGGGGGGGTTGTTCCTCATGAAGCTACAGATCTGGCGTCTGCAGGAGGAGGTGTGTTCGAGGTCTCTCTACACCACCGCCTTCCCGTGCAGCTTTCCGTAAGGCCTTTGGGAAGAGGGATAAGCTGACTTCTATTGGATACTCAAAGAAATGAGTAGCTTTCTATTAGCTCCAGACTGAATCTTCATGTATTTCAATCTTTTGGTGTCGCGAGGTTTTTTAAAAAAAAGTTTTTGACATGGAATGGGCATTTGGAACTATGCATTTTGAAAATGACAAACAGCATCTTTGTCTGGGGCTCCCACTTTTCAAAGCAAGAATGGACTGGTCATTGATGACTTGAAAACACAATAGAGGTTGTCCCTGTTTGTTGGGGACAGCGCGCATACGGACATTGCAGAACCTAGAGGAGGGGAGACGTTCGTCTGGTGTGAATCTAGAACAACCAGAGGCTTGGGGGATTTGAGAAGAGCTCCTAAGTGTTGTTGCAGATGGGAGAGTGCCCAGGACAAAGATCAGGAGAGGCACTCACACCGTGGGGGGCCGGTGGCTGGGTTTTCTGTCCCCCTCAGTCCAGAGGGCTGTGCTTATTGGGCCCCTGGCATTAATGGTCTCAAATTTCCTGTCCCTTTGCAAGGCTTAATTTCAGTCCCTCATCCAGAGAAGAAGTGAAGTTGTTCAACCAGATTTCTTTGCTCCTAAATAGCCACCTTGTACTTGGACAGCAGCTCGCCAAGTCAGACTGATCCGGTCAGCGCTAACTCTGCGCCCCTCACCCATTTCACGTCTCTTTGGTTTGTTGAGGCCAAAGTCCTTCAGCCTTTGCTTTTTTCTTTGTCTTTCTTTCTTTTAGATATGATTTTTCTAATTAAAAAATTTTTAATATATGTATATTTTTGCTGGTACAGCTGCTCTGGAGAACAGTATGACGATTCATCAAGACGTTAAAAATAGAGCTTTTTCCTGTTTTTTAGTGCTCCCCACTCAAGCCCTTCGGGCTTTTCTTATCTCGAGAGGGAAGGGCAGGGAGTTGCAGGGAGCTGCCTGGGCTCTTGAGAGGTAATAATTCCAAATAATGTCTAGAAAGTCTTAAGATTTTCTTCCCTCCTTTCGATCAACTGTATGTATTTGAAGTCTAATGGTGACCATTGCCTGGTAAGGGATTAAAGGCATTGGCGGTTTTTTGTCTTTGAATAGTTCACTGTAAGCTAAAAACCACACTGGGAGGACGGACGAGGCTGAGGCCATCTCCTGGGAAGGCAACCCATTTTGAAACTTGCACCCAAGAGGGTATTGTGACCTCGCTGTTGTAACTCTACCCTCTAAGTACACAAAGTGTGATTTCTAAAACCCCAGCTTCCTTATTGTGAAATAAGGATGCTTTTCAAAATACCAAAGATAATTGCATTATGGGGAATGAAGTGCCTCAGGAAATCATATGGGGAGAGAACGAAATAATTTATAACACATATTCCACCCCCTCTCCTTTCTTGGCAACCCTCTGTCCTCTCTCTGGTTTTGTCCTCCCTGGACCCCCATCCTAGAGAGAAGGCAGCAGAACTTTAGAATACTTGACAGTCATGACTGACAGGTGGTGGGGGTCCCAGGT